TCATTAGCCCGGCTGTTAGCTTCATCGTTTGCAGCTGTTAAACTCCGGATCAGCTCCTCCTGTTTCAACTCTACCGCTTTAATCTTTAAATTACACATATAATCAGAATGTTCAGGAAAGTTGAAGTTTTCTAGGGCCCTCCGTTTGGCGTCATTTACCTCTTCCTGTTTCCGCTTGAAGGAGCCCCGGAGACTGTCCACTCTCACCATGGCCTGAATCAATAACAGCTGGTTTATGAGTTACTTAGTCAGAATAAAGATTAAAGACATCAAGGTAGAGGAATCATGTACCTCAGCCAGAGAGCCCATTATCCGGTCAAAGTCCACGACCTGCAGATCAGGTATGGAGGCCTTATCAGACCGGGTGAGGGTCCTCACCATCCGCTTCGCGAAGCCGGCGAGATCCGGCGGGTTAGGAAGCAAATCTGCATCAAAGTAGGTCTTTGTGAGATAGAAGCAGCGTAGCTGGCATTCATCCGTTGCCGGTTGCTAGCTGACCCTTTTGAAGAATCAACCTTAGTCTTAATTCTCATAAAATTAAGTGGCCAAGGTATTTTAGTTTGTTTCTTACCGTGAACTTCCGGATGGGTCTCCGGCTTGTCCTCCCCCCCAGCGGTTGCCGCACCGTCTGCAACCTTAGGTGGCTCGCCACCCTTCGAAGCTGTAGAGGCCTCCGGCGCTTTCTGCTGTTCTGAGATTTCACTCAGTTTCTTCAGAACAACAGGGGATTTGCCCCCAGTCGTTGGACGACCAGATTGGGCAGAACTTTGCTTCTGAGGGGGGATCCTTCCTTGCGGCTTTGGCAGCCGCAGCCTTCTCCAGATCATCTCCCTGCCTTTTGAGAAGCTTGGAGAATGATCGAGGGATTCTCTTGGCGGACTCCTAAGAAGAAGCAAAATATAAGTACACCCAACCGGTAAAAAAAAAATAAATAAAAATGCAAACATAAAGTCAGGCGGTCTTACCCCGCCTTTCTTCGTAGCCTCGACAACTGCCTTTTTGACAAGGGCCGCCTCCTTGCGCAGTAGCGCCGCAGATTTAGCAGGAGTCTTATTTTGGTCAACCATCCTCAGGCCTTCTTCTGCAAAAACAAGAAGGTGAAGTTAGAAAGAATTAAGGCAAGTTTGCTATAAAAAATAAAATGACAATCATTCCGGATGAGAAGTATTCTACCCCTGAAAAACATCGTACTCAGTCCGCAGGCGGACAAGAAGCACTCATCTTTGAAGAAGTCCGGATGGGGGATCCAGTTCTTGGGAACTATGATGTGAGTCCCATCCCCCATGGGCTCAGTTGTTGTCTCAAAAAATCCCGGCTCCATGATTTTCTCCCGGGCTTTAGTAGATAGTTCCGGGAGAGGTCATTTACGTCCAAGAAGAGTCGGCTCAGTGTTGTACCGGCGTAGTGTCCGGTTGTGTCTTAGGGTTGGAAAGGAAATCAAATAGAACTTGTCCTTTCACCCGGACCACTTGGACACTTTGTCCAAAGTCATTAGATATTGGGGCAGGGGTGTCAGCGTATACCATGCCCCATGGCCGCCTGGAGCCTTGCTCAAGTAGTGCATATGAGCGAAGGCAGAGAAGCTGGGGTTCAAGTTTTGGAACTCGCAGGCGGCAATGTAACTTAATATGTTAACCCATGAATTAGGGGTGAGCTGCCACACCCCCAGATCATACCCCTTAAGGATTTTCCTAATCCCGGGGTGGAGGGGGAACCAAAGGCCGGCTTCTATTACCGCCTCATAGCAGATGAAGTAGTCATCTGCATGGTCAATGTCATCCCCCCAGGCCATCACAGCATCAGCCGGAGGGACAATGACTTCCCAACCCTTTCCAAATAGATGTTTCTCTTTAAAAGCCCTGAACCCGCTATTAAGAAGGGCAATGTTACTCGGCAGCATCCGGGTTCTTTTGGGGTTGGGATGGTCAGCAACTTTGGGCGGCTGCTGATAGTCAGCCGCAAAATCTCCTTGGTTAGAGCCGGAGGATTCCGCTCTTGATCCTTGGCTGGCTTCAGCGTCGCCGGCTTCATTTGAGGAGGCGGCTCCTTCGCCGTCCACCTCTCTTACTCCCGAGCTCCCGGAGGTAGAGGGAGCCTCCTCGTCAGATCCGCTCTCCTCCAAATTTCTCGGATCCCCTTCCGGGAAAACCTCATCGGCAGGCACTCTCATGGTGCGCCGGCTCTTAGACCGCCTGGCCATTTGTTTCGTTCTGGCCATTGTGTCCTGCACAGACACATAGAGGGAGGAATTCGGAGATGAGTATATTGGTTCCGACAGTCCAGAAGAGGCACCCCCTGTTCTAGACTCAGCCGTTCCTAGGGATCGGCTGAGTGTCCTAGGCAGTGCCGAGTGGGGGGATTGGGAACTCATTTATGTTCTATTAAGAAAGCCGGGTATACAGGCGAAAAAACGGTATGCAAATTGAAAGGGAGAAAAGCTAAAATGGTACAGGCAGTTACCTTGCTTTAACTCTTGCAAATCTGAAAACCGCTACAGCCGGTGAGCCGGGTGATGAACTTCTAGCACTCGAAAGCTTGAAACTTGCTGTTATGCAGGCGGGAGCAGAGAAAATTCTCTCTCTAGAAATCTCTCTTTTTCTCTCTCTAAAAAGTCAATATGAACGTTAAGAGTGAAAAGGAGGGGGGTAACTTCCTATTTATAGAAAGTAAAAGTGGGGGGAAATTTTGATTTGAAATTCAAAATTTTACCCGTTACTGTTCACCTATGAAAGGTGGAAACGTGTCATAGGCCCCACGTGACATGCACGTGCGACCTGTGAGGGGCAAATGTTTAGGGTATTTTTACCCAAGACACGTGGACCAATGAGAGGTCGCCACGTGTCAAGGTCAGGATGGCCCATGTGGCTCAACATCCTCTTGACACTTGGCGCCCTCAGATATGTTTCCGAATTGGCAGCTTTCAAAAGGCCCAAACCCCTAGGAGCGCCGTAAAACGGCGCACCCCACTAAAATCTAGGTCAAGTGACCTAGATAGGGGCGCATTTTCCAACGACCCTATAAATAGGGAGATATTTCCCCACCTTGGGGGACACATTGAATCATTAATTACACCCTTATTCTCTCACATCAGAGAAAGACCTGAGCTTGGAATCCGAGCAGATACCCACCTAAATTTCCGTTATCTCTATTCCGTTTCAAGTTACTGACTTGTGCGTCGGAGGCGGAGCACCACCAAACCGGTGTCTCCGTTTGTTTTGCAGGTACAGCTCACTGCGGATCAGTCTTCGTGTTGTAACTCTTCCAAGGGACAAAAACCCCCAAAACAATCTCGATTTCCATTTACGACGGAATTTTCCGTCGGAAGGTTATTATTCCAACGGAATATTATTCCGTCGGAAAGTTTCAGACGGAAAAAGCATCGTAACTCATATTTTCTGTCGCTAAAGTGCAACGAAACTTATTCCGTCGAAAATTTTGAACTTTGCGACTAAAAAAGAGGTCCGTCGCTATTTAGCCTATTTCTAGTAGTGCCTCTTGTTCTAGCTTCCTTCCCTTTGGACGCCACCATGCTTAAGTGTATGATCACAGTAGGGTTCAAGTTTGGGGTAATGCTTGAAACATTCCCTATATGCACTAACAAGCTCGAAGTGTCTGAAACTAATAGACGGCCATGGGATGCCGAATAACCGAGCTCAAAAAATAAATTTACTCTCAGATTATACACACAACTTTTCATGCCGTTTATACCAAAGCTCAGCCCCTGCATTTAGAGAGCGCTTGGTATGGCACAACTTTTCTCACGGAGTCACGGGTAAGCGGATCGCTTTGTAAATTGTAATAAGCCTAATCCGAGCAACATAGTATGTTGCTTGTTACATGCGGCTTTAATTTGAGCTTGCAACCAGCTTGCTTCTTTAGAGGCCTCACGAGTATATGCAAGCACATCTGGATTTTGAAGAGTTTTAAGTGCTTAAAAATCGGAGCCGGAGGTATTTCAAACTTTTTGCTGTAGTGCCATGCAGATTTTGTCATTTTATGCAATCATGCCGCTTGCCTTAAACTTAATTTGCCGCATGTGCTAAATACATGCTTGAATGCGAATTCTCGAAGGTTTGTCGGCTTTGGAATGTCAAGCAAATGATCTTGAAACATGAGTTTGGCTCTAATTACACAGACTGTTCAAACAGCTTTTTATGCCGTATGCATATTGCCAAAATGATGACGTACAAAGCAGCCCCTACATACGGCTATGGGTGCTTAGCAGCCCCTGACATTAAGCCGCTTGAATGCAGCCGACTTCCATGCCGTATGACCCTTTCTTAGCTTGGTTGCCGCTTGACCAAGCTTACAATCGAGCTCTCTTGCTAGATCACATCACAGCCGGCTCTTTTTTTTTTTTTAATCATAATCATAATAATGATGAATATAATAGCCATTGCAGCCGGCTTTGAGGTTGAACAAAGCAAACATGGCAGCTAGGCTTAATTGAGGTAGGAAACAGCCCTTGCTCCCACCATTGGTGGCTCTAAGCGGCTGCCACCGTTGATAGCTCTGAACAGCTGCCACCATTGATAGCTCTGACCGGCTGCCACCATTCTCATTATGCTCTCGGGCTAATTTTGAGTCGGCATATTTGCCGCTTGTATATGTGGAGTTAGAAGCTAGTTTCTCTAATCTTGAGATATACTCATCATATTTGTCGTCTTGCTATTGTGAGCAGAACACTTGATGCCGTCTAACTTCTTTAATTAAAATGCTCAAGCATGATATTTTACTTGAATTGTTGCTCACATGGAGCTCGCAGCTTCCCACAAATGGAGATTGGCCGTATGTAATATCAATATAATAATGGAGCATCTCGATGGTGCTTGCCATCCGGATAGTTTATTGCTTGACTTGTGTACACACAACTGGTTTTCTTGGTGTCGGTTATCAAGGTGCCACACCAATCCACCATTGCCGGATGCTTGGAGTGTCGTAAGATTACATATTACACGAGCAATGGCACTGGTAAAAGAGTATTTTGGGGTTGTTTTGTGGAAATTAGGCACTTGTAGAGGACTTTAGTTGTTTGGGGTTGAAAGAAATTGATAAATTGAATGAATATGAATGTGAAATCGGAGGGCAATGATTAGAGGAACTAATTACTAAATGTAGTGCTTATATGAGGATTTTAACACATTTGTAGACACGAACGGATGGATTTCATTCTCTTGGGGTCTACAGGTCACTGAAGAAGGTGCTAAATCATGAAGGGATACAAGGGTTGTACAAGTAAGGCTTTGATTTATTGGTTTGTTATTTAATTTTTCTTCTGTTTTCATTTTTATGTTTGGTAGGTGCAAGTTGTTAATTTGTATTAAATTACTCTATTGCTTATTAGAGGGAATGGTGCAAGTGTCTTCCGGATTGTTCCTTATGCGGCTTTGCATTACATGGCGTATTAGAGATACCGGTTTTGGCTGTATGATAATTGTACTTCCCTGGGGACATGACCTGTTGTAGATCTTATAGCCGGCTCAGCAGCCGGTGGTACTGCAATTGTATGAACGTACTCCTTGGACTTGGCGAGGACAAAGCTTGCTTATCAGGTGCCTATCCTACATTATTAAGGGTCATGACATTCTTATTGTTTCATTACCGGAATTTGCTTTGTAGTTGGTTGGTAATTGGCTGCGTTTGGTTATTAGCTTATTGAGCCAAAAAGAGCTTATTCAGCACATTTGGAGGATTTGATCAAATAAATCATATAATTGAGGTGTTTGGTAAACAGCGGATCTCATTAGCTGATTGGCATGAATAAGCTTAATTTGGAAACGCTCCTAACCCCAACGTTTTCAAAACAGCTTATTTGATTCTTTTGCATAATTACACAAATGCCCAAAAATTCACTCCAATTAATCATGGTTCCCCTAAAAAAGGGTGAAAATAATCATGGCTTTTGTCATCATTTATCTGGTCTAAGGTAGTGGACAAACGGTCAACTTTCAGGAGCATTTTGAACTGCAGCAACTCTTGTCCATCGTATAGTGGAGTAAAAGATGTATTTAAGTGTGTTTACAATGAAGGCGGGGTGCGCGCCTTGTTAATATCCTTTCCTTCGATCACCTTGCCTATAATTCTGGGTTTATATTCTTGTTCATAGTCTCGTTTCTTAAGAGAAAAAGAGTCGTTTATGCAACTATAGAGCATGATTTATCAAGATCTTTTATGTATCTCTAACTTGGGGTTTGGGTTTGATGTGTAGGGGAGTGAATTTGGGATAAGGCTAGAAAAAATCTAGTTATCATGGCTGCAAGTTTAGGTATGGTGACGAGTAAGCCGAGAGTACGGCAAGAAATGCTATTGAGATCTTCTCTGGCGGCTTCAATAGTTCATGCGGACTACACGGCTTCAATAGCAATTAGCAAGTGCATGACTTGTTTTTAATTTCTTTAATTGATAAAATCATTTGAATGTATGGCTTTTGCTAATTGTATTTGAAGTGTATACTTGTATAAATTATTATTTAATATTATTTATTTTTTGTGATCGATAAAATCATTAACTAAACTAAGCTATCCACCATCCAGCATATGCTGGTTTTTTTTTAAATTAGGACAAACACTATTTGTAACAGGCAGATATTATGCCCGTTACTATTAATCTGTTTTTTGTAACGGGAAAAACATGTGTATGCGTGGTTATTTGTAACGCGCAGTACATTTATCCGTTACAAATAACCCCGTTATTCGTAACGGGCACCTGAAATGTCCGTTACGAATAATAATAGCCATCCGTAACGGCCGCATACGTAATGGACGCTTCCTGTTACGGATGGGCCCTTTTTGCCCATTATGGATGGCCTTTTTTCCACCAGTGGACGGGTCGATTTTCAAGTTCGAACTTGTCTGCAAAAAAATCTTCACCCTTGATATGTCTATTTTATATAGTGTTTTACCCCCGTCCCTTGGACTTAATTAGTAGTGTTTTTGGCCCTTTAGGGCCACTTTTATTACTAATATGTGTTTTCTAGTGTTTTTTGTAGTTTTGGTTAAGTTTTGCAGAGAATTGCACCTTTGGAGCATTTTCCCGGGATTTTTATGAAGCGACTACGAGCATTGGAGGAACACGACCACTTTTGGAGCCCAAGGCCGGCTAGAGCCATCGAGCCGGTGATTAAGAGCGCGGTTATTTGGATCACGAGACAATTGGACCATGTATTCGAGACCCGAGAGGAAATATGGATTGGGCCGAGAAATCTAGCCCAATCGAAGTCCAAGCCTTGAAGATGAAGACCGGGCCCGATCGGGCAAGCATACGCCCGATCAGGCGGCTGCGCGCATGAAGGCTATCAAGAAAAGGCGCGCCCGATCGGGTGAGCGTAGGCTCGATCGGGCGCGGCACTTTAGACTGTGCATAGAAAAAAAGGCGGGCCCGATCGGGCGCCCCTTCGCCCTATCGGGCACGTGTTTTTCCTAGTGTCTGATTTAGTTTAGTTAATTCTTGTTTTAGGGGAAGTATATATACGTTTTGTACGGATTATTTACTTACCTTCTTTCTGTTAGACTTTCTCTCTCTACTTAGTATCTTTCTCTCTCTTAAATTCTCTCTAACTCTTGTTCTTAATTCCTTCATTAATTCCAGATTTAGTTTGGTACAATTTCTTCCCTTTTTAATTTCAGCTATTTTAATTGCTTTCTTGATCATGTTCTTATTTATTTATTTATTTGTTTTGTTTAATTATGATGATTAGTGAGTAGTTTAATTCTAGGGTTTATGGGGATCCATAATTAATATGAAGGGATAGTTTGTTATTATTGATTGTTGATATTTCATGATAATTTCCTATTGAATTGTTTCAATTCTTTGCAATTAGATTATGAATCGAGCAGATGTAATTTGATTGTGAATGTTTAGCAATATTGAATTGATGAATCGAGTAGATGTTGATTTAATATTAAAGGATATTTTTAATAGGAACTTAGGTCTAGAGAGCCTGTTAGATCTATGTTGGTTAATAAATTACGAGAGCCTGTTAGTCATGTTATTCGTGCATTGTTAATTATTAATTACTTCTTTCTATCCCGGAATATTAATTATTGGTGAACCTGTGACCCTAGGTTTCCTTATTATTGATTCTTTTCTCCCTAAACTCATTCTTCGTAGTATAGAATTCACATTCAAAATATTGGTTACTTAGATAATTTAGATTATATTAATTAATTAGAATTAAAAAGACATGTTTCCCTGTGGAGTTTGACCCTACTTCCCTATCTACCTTTTTTAGTGATTTAGGTAATTATTTTTTATTAGGGGATACGACTCTACCCTGTCAAAATTTGGCGCCGTTGCCGGGGAAACGATTCTATTTTTATTTTCTGATTATATTTTTTTGTAGTCTAGATTATCCCCCTTTTTGCCTCAGAGAACATTAGTTCTTTGAGGCAAATCTCATATTTGTCTCTAGTTCTTTGTTTATGCCCAGGTGTTCTAGATCAGGTGATATCCCTTTTGATCCTGAGATCGAGCGTTCTTTTCATAGGCAAAGGAGACTCTATAGACAAATTTTGGCGGGTTCAGAGGATGACAACGATCGAAGAGACCCTCCCACTGATTCTAGTGATACAGATATTCCTTCAGATTAAGAATCAGAGATGACGGCCAAGAAGAAACTCAGTGATTTTTCGCAACCGAAGCTCACAGATTTCCCGCACCTTACTCCTACTCCGGCTGTAGATGGAGTTCAATTTGAGATCAAGCCCCAATTTATCACTATGATAGAGAGGAAGCAGTTCAGCGGAGCTAAGGTGAAGATCCTAATCTTCACATCGCAGATTTCTGCCAATATTGTAACACCATTAGACAAGCCGGGGTTACGCAGGACCAAATCAGGGAGATTCTTTTTCCCTTTTCTTTATGTGGCAAAGCAAAATTATGGTTTAATGGTTTGAATAGAATTGCACTTGGTATTACTGACTGGGAAACCCTTGCTTTGAATTTCTATAATAAATATTATCCTGCAGAGAGAACAGCGGTGCTAAGAAGTGATATTCAGAACTTCGCTTAAGAGGCCGACGAAACATTATATGAGGCTTGGGAGAGGTTCAAGGATCTACAGAGAGAGTGCCCCCACCACAATCTAGCACAATGGCAATTGATCCAAGCATTCTATAATGGACTTGGAAATTCTTCTAGATCAGTACTAGATTCGGCAGCTAGTGGGAGGTTTATGAATTTAAATGTGGATGATGCAGGACAGGTTATCGAAGACATGGCAATACACAATTCCCAATATGGGAATCCGAGGGGGTTTGCAAATAAGGGAAAACATAATGTCGATTCCGTATCCTTTTTGCAAGCTCAATTAACATCTATTTGCCAAAAATTAGATAATCTTACTACTGCTCCTAACTCTGTAGCTAATGTTTCTAATGTTGCTAACCATGAAGCTTTTTGTGAAAATTGTGGAATTGTAGGTCATTGGGAGCAAGATTGTAGGAGCTCTATGGAACAAGTTAATGCCTTCCAAACCTATAGGCAAAATAACCCCTATTCCAATTCCTACAATGTCGGTTATAAAAACCATCCTTATCTTTCGTACCGGAGTACCAATGTACAAAACCCTCCACCTCCACAACAACCACAACATCAACCCCCACCACAGCAAAAATATTATCATCCTAATGCCGGCCAGAAAAGCCAAGCATCACCCTCATCATCTTCCGACCCTGCCATGACAGAAATTAGAGCGATACTAGCTAATATGCAAAAGCACATGGAGAGTAGGGATGCGCAAATTGATTCTATTCTAGCCCATAATAAAATCATGGACAATCAAATTGCACAACTTTCATCTACCCTACAATCCCTTCAGCAGGGAGCTCTACCATCACAACCTATCCATCCTATAGATCATGCTAATGAAATCACTCTAAGGAGTGGTTCACATTATGATGGACCTCCCATGCCAAAGGAAGATGGACCAGTTCCTGATCTAGATTCCTCTATACCAAACGGCAATCCTGCTAGCCCTGCAGGGCTACAAAAAGATACTAACCCTACTAATGTTTCTGTGCAGGGTAAATTGCAGGATAAGGGGGGAGTTGTGCAGAGCTCAGTTATCAAGCTTCCATTCCCTAATAGACAACTGAAGAGTAAGCTTGATAAACAATTCGGTAAGTTTTTAGAGGTTGTGAAAAACCTGCAGGTAACAGTTCCTTTCACTGATTTAATCACTCAAGTACCTGCTTATGCTAAATTCATGGAAGACATTCTGACTAGGAAAAGGGCCTTTAATGAAGTAGAAACTGTAGCTTTCACAGAGGAGTGTAGCGCTTATTTGCAAAATAAATCACCTCCTAAATTAAAGGATCCCGGCAGTTTTTCTATCCCTTGTCACATTGGGAATGTTTTTATTGATAAAGCTTTATGTGATCTGGGTGCTAGTGTCAGTGTCATGCCATCATTTATATGTGCTAAATTAAATACGGGGGAATTAAAAATTACTAAAATAACTTTGCAAATGGCAGATCGTTCGGTAAAATATCCCTTAGGTATTTTAGAGGACGTACCTGTCAGAGTTGGTAAATTTTTTATTCCTATTGATTTTGTTGTTTTAGATATGGAAGAGGACACACAAATACCCATTATATTAGGTATGTCTTTCCTCCACACTGCAGGAGCTATTATTGATGTGAAAAATGGTAAACTAACCCTTTCTTTAGGTGACGATAACGTTACCTTTAATTTAGGGAAGGTTTTGAAAGGGCCTATGTTAGAGGAAAATTGTTGTTATATTGATACAATTAATATAATGGACGATATTTGTGTTGATAGATTGCCACAGGTCCTTGCGAAAGATCCCTTGGAGGAAGTTCTCTGCGGGAATTTATCTAGCGACAATGCAAGCATTTGGGGTAATGAGGTACAAAGTATTGAAGAAACTCTTTCCTTAGAAGAGTTAAGCCCCAAGGAGACAATGAAGGTAGTAAATTTATTTCAGGAATCAAAACCT